GTTTAAGTAAGGGTTAAGCTCAGATCAGGTTAGCGTTAAAGACGAGTAAGGCTTAGGTTACTGAGGGTTAGAGATGAAATAGTTTAGGTTAGAGTTAGCATTATAGACGGTTGAGGGTTAGAGATGAGCTACGGTTACCGTTAGATTAGGTTAGAGCTAAAAACAAACTAAGTTTAAGCAATGTTAATTTTAACGTCCGGGACTGGTTAGGGTTATAGACGAATTAGCTTTGATTGGGTTAGATTAGGTTAGAGTTAAAAATAACTAAGGTTTTGGTTAAGACAGAGTTAATGTTAGGGACGGATTAGTTAGGGAGAGTTACGATTAATTAAGTTGAATAACAAAATTTAGAGTTTTACAAGGTACGGCTTACTACTATAAATTTTCCCGTCAATTGAACCCGTTTTAGCTTCAAATTAATGTTAAATGTTAATATTAACTCCTGTTAATTTGAAGTGAGGTTAATTCGAAATTAAAATGGTTAATTTGAAAAAAAAATTAATTTGAAGTTTTGAAACGGTTAATTTGACAGAAAAAAAGCTAGTTTCCATGATACTGAACATAAATAATTTACATTTAACGAATCGTGCAAAATTAACAACCATCGATTAAAATGGGAATCGATATGTAGAAATTATTATATCAAGTAGGCTTGTGATCTGATTTACTAATTTCAGGTAACCAATAACCGGATTGAAACGTCATCTAGTGCCATTTTCTGAACAAATTGAATTTTCCAATTAGAAATAAAAAACTTGTAAAATTTCCCCTATTACATTCCTCGGACGAACGACCTCTTTGGCAACTGATTGATCAGGAATTCTGTTTAATTCTAAAGAAAGTTTTTTTTGTTTGTAGCTTCTTATTTCTTAACTTGGGGAGTTGAGGAATTTTATTTTTTTTCTGCTTTTCTTTTAGGCGTCGGTCATTTTGGATATGAGCCAGGCTAAGGAGAAAAAATTCTTCAACTTTAGTAAAAACAGGATATCGTAGAAGCATTGGTTTTATATTCTTCTTATTGACGTCAATTCTCACAAAAATCAGCTTATCATTTTCACAAGCTGAGCTATTATGTTTCAATTTCCTTTCGAACAGGCAGAGTTAGGACTGAGTCGGTCTTCAAGGAAATTTGATATCGCCTATAAAAACTTAAATATGTCTATCTGCAGACATAGTTAATATTGTCTTGCCCTGATGATGCCCTTAAAATAGGTCGAAAGCTTGGCAGTAGCGAATTTGCTTTTTCTTCAAGACCGTATCTTGATTCATAGTGTTCGTGAAAAAAATAGTTTTAAATATCTGACACTACAACTATTATTGGTCACGATTAACTATATGGCATTATGCCATTAGTATACTCAGAGGACAAAGACCTACAGAAACCGGTCAATGCTGCCACTTAATATGTAGGATTATGGTATGGCATGGTAGTGAAGGATACTAGGAAGCGGGGTTTGTACTCTCCAGGCACTGCAGCCTTCTGGCTTATTGTACCTTCCTAGTTCCTTAGTTCAGTGCAATAGACTCAATCCTTCTTCTTAGAAGTATCAGGTCATTGACTGTTGGTGCTGCAATTTGGTTTTCTAAGTTTTTTCCGTACGTTAGGTTAAACCTCCATTGAGCTGTTGCTTTGCAGTCAAAGATGATATGAGTTTTTTGAAAGCTGTTTCCTCCTCCTCATTACACAATCTGCAAATGGGATCATCGCTGTATATACCCATGTTGTGTAGATGTTTTCTCAGATGCCAGTGACCGGTTAGTAGTCCTACCACTCCTCTGAGTTTGGCCCTCTCCAATTGTAGCAGTGTTTTAGCCAGTCTCGGTGAGGGTTGTTTCATCATAAGTTTACTATGTCTAGCACCGCTAGAGTTTATCCACTTCTCCTTTTGTATTGCTCGGATCCATTCTGCGATGGAGGAATATTTGTTCTTGTTATCCGAAGAATAGGTTCAGGGCCTATGTATGGTCTTGCAGATCCTTCTCTGGCCAGTCTGTCTGCTTCCCAAAATTCCCCTGTGCCCTGGTACCCAAGATATCATCAGGGTGTTGTGTTTCCTCAGGTTTTGGAGATTTTGGATGCATTCACTGACTAATTTTGATGTGATCCTTTTACATGCTAATGCTTTAATGGCTGCTTGGCTATCTGATCTTATGAGGATTTTTTTGTCCCTGTAACCTCTTAAGATTTCTCAGGGCACAAGCATTGATGTCATGTATTTCCGCTTGAAAGACCGAAGTGTATTTCCCTAATGAGTTTGATTGCTCATGTTTTGGGCTTGTACAGAAAACGCCCGATCCGGTTCCTTCGTTTGTTTTGGAGCCATCTGTGTACCATATCATTGTATCTGATGCTCTCCTGTGTTCTTCCTCTCCTTTATAGTCCATTGAGACTTTATACGAAGCTGTGAAGATTGATAGAAATGATAAATGATGGAGTGAGTGTGGTGTTCAATACTTTTTAAAAGGATCCTACTCACAGTAAGTTGTTTTGCAATGATCCGGATTTCGAGCCTTTTAGCTCATCATCAGGTTGAAGGACTTCTACAACCACGTCTCTCGATATGAATTGCCAAAGTGAACCGCTGATACCTCCGCCAACGCGACGTTCCAATTATCAGCTGATTTTTTTAACGGCGTTCAATTTGAACGTGCGAAACGCGGAGATTATAACACAAATAAATATTAGAATAATAAATACTTAATATTACTATAAATTACTATAAAAATAATAACAATTAAAATAATTAGTTTAATTATTTGGATGTTTGATATTATTTATGTACATATTTAAAATGGGAGGTAGATCAAAATCTGTTATATTATTAATGCATTTATCACCATGTTCAATTTTACATTTTTTAATTTCAAATTTCTCAAACCAATCTAGTTCTTTCCCTTTGTTGAAACTATGTAACACTCTTGTATTTAGATTTGAATTGAAATTATGTTTTGTTTCTTTTAGATGGTCCTTAAATTCCGAAAATTTGCTCGATTTAGGCAAGTGTTCTTTTACTCTTACTACTTCTCTTCTAAAAACTTCTTGTTTAAAAATTTTACTAACTTTTTCCGATAATTCACCAATGTATGGCAAACAACGGAAACCTACTGATTCATTTGTGTTGGGGTGAGTCCTATTTTTGATTCGTTTAAAGTTAATTTTTTAATTCTTTTAACTAGCAACCTATCAATAAATATTTCTTGATACCCATTGTTTTTTGCTGAGGTTTTAATAGTTTTTAATTCTTTTTTATAGTTATCAGGTGTGCGGAAGTTTTAACATTCGGTCTATGAGCCAAATGAAACCAGCAGCCTTTTTGGGACTATGGGTGGGAAGAATCCGCTGGTATCATAGTGTCTGTAGTTGTGGGTTTTCTATATACGTCTATTTCTATTAGGTTGTTTATTATGGACAGTTTTAGGTCTAAAAAGTTCAAACAGCCATCTTTGCCAATTTCCAATGTAAAATATTACGGTGTAGAAAATTAATTAGTTGTAAGAATTCTTTGAGAGCCTCTAACGTTCCCGACCATATGCATAAAATATCGTCTACATAGCGTTTCCAGAAATGAACATATTTTATTAATTTGTTCCTTGATTTGAAAAGATTTTTTTCGAAATTATCCATGAATATATCAGCACAAAGTGGGGATAATGGAGACCCCATTGGTAACCCCTTTCATTTCGTAAAATTTATTATTGAATTTACAATAATTAGATAGTAGGCATATATTTAAGAGGTCTATTATATCATTTTGTACAAATTCGTTAATAGAATTCTCGGTAAGTTTTTGCTTTATGAGTTTAGTACATTTTTCAACGATATTTGTGAATAAATTAGTAACGTCAAATGATACTAAAACACAGTTGTTGGGTATATTGATGTTATTTAATTCTTTTATCAGTTCTAAAGAATTGTTGATACCGAATGTAGGTTTCAATTTGGTCTGGGTTTTAATTATTTTGTCAATTGTACTTGCAAGTTTATGACATGGGGAATTATAAAAGGATACTACTGGTATGGTTCGTTTTCCTTATGAATTTTGACGGTACCGTATAACATTGGGGGTTTCGGGTTCATTGGTATTAGTTTTTTAACTGCATATTGGTCATCTGAGAACAAAAAATCACTATTTTTTATGGCTGTTTGAACTCGAGTTTCAATTTTATTTTTTCAAAAAATAGTGTTTTTTGAACAGTTTTTCAAAAGCTGTGAAGATTGTTTCCGATTTCTGGAGTCTAAGTGAGCTTTTCCTAGCCTCTCTTTGTATGAATATTTCCAGTGGAGGTAGGTTTAGCAAAGTTTCTAATGGGTTTGTAGGGGTTGTTCTCATCGCCCCTGTGATAGGTTTGGTAGTCTTTGTATGCTGCCTAATGTTTGGGTAGCTACTTTTTGTCGAGCTTTGTTCCACCAGATTAGTGATCCATAGGTTATTCTGGGTCTTATTACTGCCGTGTATAGCCAATAGGCCAAATTCAGTTTTAGTCCCCAAGATTTGCCTAAGGTCCTTCTTGTGGTCATTAATATGTAGGATTAAAAGAAACATGGTATAAGTCAGTTCATTTGTATTAATTCATATTTAAAATTTGCAAGTAAAAAGCCTTTTCAGCTTGGATATTAAATTTGAAAACAGATTGCATAATCTGATAAGTACGATGGATTAAGCACTTACAATACTAATGCTACCATGTTATTTTAATCTTTTTAACCTTGTTAACGGAGAATAGTTTACATAATTAGTCGATAATAATGTAGACTACAGTACAACAACAGTTAGTTAGTTATTGTCGGTCGTTCCGTCGTCGGGGACATGGCACAAGTTCGATCCCCCATCACAGCTCGTTTATTGGCCGGAAATGTATGTCGTCTATTATTCTCGGTAATGAGAATTAGCCCTCCGGCTTTTACGTCTATTGAAAACAACCCCGAGGTCGATTCTTGGTGCATTTGCGCCGTTGTAAAAATCAATTAAAATCTTATTACATTCTGTAAGAAATCGCACCTGGTGTTCATCCAGCAGTAGATGATCGGGTTGTACATGGAGTTTGACATGGCCAGCCAATAAATGGCGAGGTAAAGGTCCTGGATGTAGGAGAGATTCGTGATCTCCGGCATGTACGACGTGATGATGAAGTATATGTGAAAAGGAAGCCAGCATACCCCGAATATGCTGACGACCACGATCATCATCTTAACCACCTGTAACATATGAAAAATAAAGATTAGAAAACAGATTTTTTTTTAACTTTAACTATTTATACGTATATAATTTGGGTCGTAAACACTAAGGCCATCACGGAAGCCGCGCATTGTTGCTTCTCTTCTTATCTCTCCCAATCTATTTACTGTCTCTCTGGTTTTAATGTAAATTGAATCTCCTAAATCACTAGCCACTCATTTGTACATTAGGTTGTCAGCTATCATACAAATTGTAGGTCACGCCTGAGAGTACTCGATACTCCTCGGATTGTAGCATTCTCGCTAATAATTAACTTTACTCCCAGACGCCACACGCTAAATCCAGAATACTCGAAATCCCGCCTGGTTGAACCCCCTTCCATTGTCACTAATATATTATTTTTATTCCCCAGATGCCGCACATTTAATCCAAAACACTAAATAGATTTAAAAATTCAAGCAAATTTTTTCTAATTTTGGTGGGTGGTATGTTTGCGGCGAAGTCCCAAATTCGCTTGATTAATATATGTCGGCATTTCTATTGTAAATTTTATAATAGATTTCTCTCTTTGTCTGTCTGTCTCTCTTTCTCTCTCCCTTTATGTGTCTCTCTTTCTCCCTCTTGTTTTTCTCTCTCTACCTACCTTGGTCTCGCTCTCTCTTTCTCTCCTTCTTTTTTTATCTCTCCCTCCCTTTCTCCACACCCTCTTTTCCTCTCACTCCATTTTGCTAATTATTTATTTTCTACGTGTGTGTGGTGATTAGTGATCGTTAATCGATATTTATTTAGAAATCGTGAGATGCGGTGTGGTGTGACGTAGGTTTCAGAAAAACATTTTCTTTATCGTGCCAACGTTTCGATCTTTTATTGAGATCATTTTCAGGGCTCAATAAAAGATCGAAACGTTNAAAAAAAAAAAAAAAAAAAAAAAAAAAAAATTCTACATCAAAAGTCCCATACTATACGTAGTAAATTTATATAAAAATGATGTAAGTTGAAAACTGACGTTGGTATTGCTATTGGAAATTTTGCAATCTCTTTCTCTCTCTCTCACTCTCTCTCTCTTTCTCACTTTTCTTCTCTCTGCTCTCTCTCCTCCTATCTATTCTTTTTCTTCTTTATCAATCTGTCATTTCCTCTCTCTCCCCCTTACTTTTTCCTTCTCACTCAAATTTGCTAATAATTTATTTTCCTCATTAGAAGTCCCAAACTACATATACTAAATTTGTATAAAAATGATGTACGTTGAAAACTGGCGTTTGTTTTGCTGTTGGAAATTTTTCTCTCCTCTTCTTCTCTCTGCTCTCTTTTCCCCTCTCTCTTTCTTCTTCTTTTTCTCTCTCTCCCTCTCTCTCTCTATCATCCTCTCTCTCCCCTCCCTCTTTACCTCTCACTCCATTTTACTAATAACTCATTTTCTACACCAGAAGTCCCATACTACACATACAAATTTATATAAAAATGATGTAAGTTAAAAAATGACGTTTGTATTGCTATTGGAAATTTTGCAATCTCTCTCTCTCCTCTCTCTCCCTTTCTCACTCTCTTCTTCTCTCTGATCTCTCTTTCTCACTTTCTTCTTCTCTCTGCTTTCTCTTCCTCTCTATTCTCTTTCTTCTTTCTTTCTCTGTCAATCCCTTTCTCTCCTCCTTCCTTTTTCCTTCTCACTCAATTTTGCTAATAATTTATTTTCCTCATTTATTTTCCTCCCAACTAGTCCCAAACTACATATACTAAATTTATATAAAAATGATGTAAGGTAAAAACTGACGTTTGTATTGCTATTGGAAATTTTCCAATCTCTCATTCTCTTTCTTCTTTTCTGATTATCCCAGAAACGGCCCACACCACACGACTTTCTTCCCACCTGCGTCCATCCATTTCAATTATTTTATTTTACTTTTTAGACGGTCGACGAAGGTTTTTCTCCTGAGTTCCTTGACGGTACTGAGCGAGTCGGGTTTTTTTATGTTCTTTATGTTTTTCTTTGGAAATATCAAGAAGGGGTGAAAAGTTCTGGTAAAAAACTGGCCCGCGGGGATCTCGGTGCCGTTGCCGTCTTAATTTCTATTGTGGATTTGACGAAGTCCAACCCTTAAAGGTTGTTTGAAAATATGAGAGGAAAAGTCTTGGTTTTAATATTTTATAAAAATAATAAATAAAATAAAATAGACAGTAGTTAACTCACTTGCTTCTCACATTTAGTTGTGATATCCAATTTCAAAAATAATGACTGTGAAAAAGCTATTTTTCCCAAGAGTACTCCGCAACTTGAAAAACACTAGTAACAGTTTAAACTTCAGATTTCGTTAGACCCGCTCGTGACACTGACTTTTTTATCTCAACTTAAAACCTTAATTAAGTGAATGTTATTAATTGGCCAAGCGGACCACGAAAAATAGTGAATTTAATGAATTAAAATGAAGTATACTTCACTAAAGCTCTCCGTGGGCATTTCATTTGTCGCCGAGAATCAAATAGATTATACGACATTTAAAAAATGGCAAAAAGGAGGGAAAATTCAAAAGGTGGGGTTGAAATGGGAAGTTAGTGTCCGAGTGGATCGAAGTCACGATAGCTCAAGTGGTAGAGCAGCGGCGAATCTAGCCGAAGATCGTGGGTTCGAATCCCGCTCGTGACACTGACTTTTTTTTATCTCAACTTAATTAATTAAGGTTTTAAGTTGAGATAAAAAAGTCATTGTCACGAGTGGGATTCGAACCCACGACCTTCGGCTTGATACGCCGCTGCTCTACCACTTGAGCTATCGTGACCTCGATCCACTCAGACACTAACTTCCCATCTCAACCCCACCTTTGTCCGAGTGGATCGAAGTCACGATAGCTCAAGTGGTAGAGCAGCGGCGTATCTAGCCGAAGACCGTGGGTTCAAATCCCGCTCGTGCCACTGACTTTTTTATCTCAACTTAAAACCTTAATTAAGTGAATGATATTAATTGGTCAAGCGGACCACGAAAAATAGTGAATTTAATTTAGTTAGAAAGTTCTTTTCTGGGTATACTTTGGAATTATTAAAAAAGCAATATCTCGTATAAATTTTACGTTGGTCTAAATTGTTAAATTTATCAACGAAAGTTTGTTTTTCTTTGTAAATACCAAGATGGGGGGGGGGTGAAAAGTTCGGATAAAAGCCTTGCCCGCGGGGGATCTCGGTGAAGTTTCAGTCTTAATTTCTATTGTGGATTTGACAAAGTCCAACCCTTGAAGGTTGTTTGAATAATTGTCCGCAATATTAAAAAAAAAAAAATTAACAAAAGGATAAAATATTTTGTAAATCTATTATTTTTAAAAATTTATATTTTTAAAATTTTATAGAGCATAAATGTTTCACTCTTGAATCTTGTTTTATTGGTCGTCATTCATTTCAATATTTCAATGTTGTGATAAAAAACCAGCTCGATTCATAAATCATACACACTATTTCGCAAACCGGCGCGTTATATTATTAACAGGTTTATGTTGAATACATTTTGAAAGTCTCTTATGACGGAGACTGATGATTAATGATAAAAGGCATGTCGGGAAAAATTTGCAGATGGAGGACAGAAGTTAGACGTCGTCGGTACTTGTCCCCTGTTTGGGACAAACTTGGCTAACCTTATAAAAATCCCGAAACGATAAATCAAGCTCGAAGCCCCCTCCCCCCGAAAGCCTTCGGGGAAATTTATCAGTAATAAAAGAAATATTCACACGCTTTCACACTTTCTTGGGTGTATTAATATTAAACATACAGTTGGTAATCGATATTAGTATGTAATAATGCTATATGTATCATTCGTTAGGGGTAGACACCCGAGAAATTTTAAACGTACTGAGGATGTCAATGATGTGGCTTGAAATGCCTTTCTAACAAAAACGAATAGAGAAAAAAATAAGACAGAAAATTGGGCTTTTTATTAATTTTATTTACAATCCGTATATGTTTAGCGGTCATAATCGTCCTATTGTAATTATTGCAATTAATTTCACTAATTTCGTGGTCCGCTTGACCAATTAATATATTACAATTATTAATTTATCTCAACTAAAAACCTTAATTGCAACTAATTATACTTTTTATCTAAAGTCTTGGTTGAGATGAAAAAATTAGTCTCACGGGTGGGATTCGAACCCATGACCTTCGGCTCAAAACGCTCAATACGAAGTCACGATCTCTTAAGTGGTGAGAGCAGCGGCGTATTGAGCCGAAGGTGGTGGGAATCCCGCTCGTCAGACTAACTTTTTCACCTCAACCAAGACTAGATAAAAAGTATAATTAATTGCAATTTATCTACAATGTGTGTTACTTAGTGACTTGTTGTTTCATAATTTGTTGAAGTCGTAAAGAGCGGTCAAGAATGAGGTAGTTTGGAAAAACACCTTTTTCATTTTTTTGTTGTTTCGACCTTTATTCGAGTCATCTTCAGGGCATAAAGTGGGGTGCTATTTTTGTCATGCCATACTCCCAGTCCTTTCAGTCGTTGTTATATTCCCTAAAAATAAAATAAGTAACCAGAACTATCAAGCCATCCACTATAGTGGTTATGGACAATGGGTTAAGGTGCAAGGACAAACCAAACTGGGCTAAGGGCGTCTCCTTGGGGGAGACGGGGTGGGAAGTTAGTGTCCGAGTGGATCGAAGTCACGATAGCTCAAGTGGTAGAGTGGCGGCGTCTCTAGCCGAAGATCGTGGGTTCGAATCCCGCTCGAGACGCTGAATTTTTTATCTCAACTAAAAACCTTAATTAATGAAAAATATTAATTGGTCAAGAGGCCCACGAAAACTAGTGAATTGTATATAAACTGTTCTGATGTAGAATTATTTCAGGGCCATTTTGGTTTAAATCACCCCACTAAAACATGAGATTTTAATAAATTATTCCAAAATTTAAGATTTTTCTTTTCTGTTTAACAAATGTTTAAACCAATGATGTAATGTAAAATAGATCCGCTGACGGAACGAAAAAGTATAAATTTTTTCATCAAATTAACCCATTATTTAAATAAATAAAAAAACAAATAGCATGAAAAAAAAGCATTTAAAATAAAATTTCTGTGGATTTGAGGGTTGTTTTAATATAAATTAATAGAGAATTTAAAAGATTATATAGAAATTAATTGCAATTAAAATTTAAAATGTTATCAAATTAAGTATAAAAAGAAATTATTGTTTTATGTTGAGAATTAAAAAAAAATGTAAAATGGGTTCTTAATAAAACATCACATGAAAATTAATTACGATAAAAATTAAAAGTCATATAAACCAAATATAAAAATAAAAGGAAGTTTTTTGAAATATAAAACTGGTTATTATCGAATTACAATTTAAAATTGAAAGTTAAATCTAAAAATAAATTTTGGAATTATTAATTTTTTAAAATATAAAATTATTATTTTTGTGTGGTGATTAGTGACCGTTAGTTGCTGATTATTCGGAAATCGTGAGATGCGTTCTCGTGTGACGTAGGTTTCAGAATAACATTTTCTTTATCGTGCCAACGTTTCGATCTTTATTGAGATCATCTTCAGGGCCTGGGATTTACAAACATTGTTTAAATTTTACAAATACCTTTAGGGAATGAAAAGAAAAACTCCAAAACACTTCACACACTTTTTCCAAAATTAAAAATCCCACACCAGTAACAAATAAATTTGACGTAATTTACAAAATCAATTGTTTAAATTGTCCGGCAACTTACATCGGTATTACGTCTCAATATTGGGATAAGAGAGTAAAGCAACGTATCTATGGTTGCAAAAAACTCAAACAAAATCCTACCATTTTAAACTCCAACACAAATTCGACATTAACAATCCAAAAATGTTACACACAGAAGAAAACAAAAATAAACGTAACATTTTAGAAATGATTATTCAGAAATCGTGCGGTCTGGAGTGATGTAGGTTTCAGAAAAACATTTTCTTTACCGTGCCAACTTTTCGATCTTTATTGAGATCATCTTCAGGGACTGGGATTTACAAACATTGTTTACAATTAACAAACACATTTAGGATGTAGAAAAGTGAATTTATACAATGCAATGTTTGTTATATGTAAACAACGTTTGTAAATCCCAGGCCCTGAAGATGATCTCAATAAAGATCGAAACGTTGGCATGATAAAGAAAGTGTTTTTTTTAAACCTACCTCACACCAGACCGCATCTCATGATTTCTGAATAATTATCGATTGACGGTCACTAATCACCAACATTTTAGAAATGGTTTACATCAACAAGGATAAACATAGCATCAATTACAGAACAGATACATGTAAACTCAGTTGCAGCTACACCAATATCATTAATCAAATTCAATATCGATAACATACATATATCATCATCACATCACACAAAACATATAACATATAAAACGATCATCACATTCCACACATCAAACATTTCTACATAGTCTAATTCTTCAACAATTTGGCTTTCCTTTCCGTAATTAACCCCGTCTATAAAATCCTGAAAGGACAACCAGACCGAATCATTATCCATTTTTCCCATTGTCGGCTCCTTTCACCTCAAAGAAGCCGACTCCTCATATAAAAATGTCTTTCTATCCTGATTTCCTTCCTCACCCCTTCAAAATCCAACGTAAATAAATATAATACAACATAATAATATCTCACTGGCACTCTCAATACGACTCAGAAGAATGACACATGTACACGGAAAACAAACACTTTGAGTAAGTACAAATACTTTTTTTTTATTTTTTATTTTTTTATTATTGGCCTTATGATCTTGCATATTAGCCATGGTACGAATAATTCTTGTGTGTTCAAATTGGGGGTTATCGGGAAAAAAGGGCCAGAGGCGACGGTGGGAATCGAACCCACGACCGCGGCGTGAGAGTCTCTCATGCTAACCACTCGGCTACCGCGCTGACAAATGTCAGAATATATTGTTTTAAAAAGGAAATCCCTTTTTTATTTTTACGACTGGACGCAAACCAATACTGACTCGGTTTCTGATTTTTTATCATAAAGAAAGATTCTGTTCTTAAAGTTCGTGCAATAAAAAAACCCATATCTGCAATGGACTAATTTTTTCTTTCAATTTATCATTAAATTTTTTAAACGGCCTCGCATAAAAAAATAAAAAATAAGCATAAAAATAATAATTTTACCCTTTTGGTCAAGATTAAAGGAAATATAAAAGGAATAAAAAAGGTGAAAATGAAGACAAAAATCCACTGCTGAACTTATTATTTTTTAATGGAAAAATATTATATTTAAAACGAATAGTTTCTGGAAAGGGGGAAATGACAAAAGTAAAAACGAAAGTTACCGCCTGCTGTGCAGAATTCTTCTATCTTGTAATTCTCTGGTCGTGTTAAGGACAACTGGGCGGACTATTGAATTGAAAACCCAAGCACAGTATTTTTTACAGAGCTTTCTTTTTTTTATATTAAAAAAATGACCAAAATCTTGAAAATGTAAGATCCTGCGATATAAGGACCACACGCCTCCTATCCTCACAACGCTTGGGCAAAATCTAATTCCGACATTGCTAAATTGTTTTCAGACCATCTTTCCACAATTTTCACCGCACACCATGACATAATTGATCATGACCATCAGCTTAGCATTGAACACGACTTGAATGTCCCCTTGCAACTCTCTCATCCTCCTAAAGCATTTACTCCATCAGACAAACGACACACTATTAAACAACTACCTTCACGAAAAGCTCCAGGTTATGATCTAATTAGAAAACAAATATTACAAAATTTGCCCCAAAGAGGCTTACTATACTTAAAATACCTATACAACGCTGTACTCAGGACCAAATATTTTCCATTGCAATGGAAGGATAATTAAAATGATTCATAAGACAGATAAACCTTCTGATCTTCCAAATTCCTATCGACCCATTAGTCTCCTTCCTATCCTTGCCGAAATACTAGAAAAACTACTTCTCCGACGATTATTGCCAATAATTGAAAATTCTAGTATTATTCCAGATTATCAGTTTCGGTTGCGCACATTTCACTCGACAATTCAACAATTACATCATGTTGCTGACAACATAGCCTCTTCCCTCGAACAAAAACAGCATTGCTTGGATGTCTTTCTTGATTTAGAACAGGCCTTCGATCGAGTCTGGCACTCGGGCTTGCTTCGGAAACTGAAGAACATCCTCCCTCATACGTACTATCTTATACTGAGATCTTATCGATCTTGTCGAGCCCGTCAGGGAACTGAATTCTCACCTTATATACGCAATAGGGCGGGTGTTTCTCAGGGAAGCATACTTGGCCCTTTTCTATTTTCCATATACACTGCAGATATTCCTACGCATGTTAACATTTAAACACACACACATTCGCTGATGATGCAGCGATTCTTACACGTAATTCGGACCCCTCAATTAATACGCAACACTTACAAAAACACCTGAATGAATTAACAGTATCGCTCACAAAGTGGAGAACAAAGATAAAACTAACGAAAAGCGCACAGTTAGATTTTACCATACGTAAAAATGTCTGTCCTGCTGTGAATATAAATGGAATTCCATTGCCTACCACTGACCTTGTGCGTTATCTTGGTCTTATCATGCATAAACGAATAACTTGGAATCCCCACACAAGACCGAAAAGGCAGCGAACAAACCGACGTTATAAATTATAAAAGTAGTCACTCGACTCACGATCAAAATTAGACATTGAACTTATCTGACGGATCGATTTTGTCGAGTCCGTCAGGGAACTGAATTCTCACCTTATATACGCATTAGGTCGGGTGTTTCTCAGGGAAGCATACTTGGCCTTTTTCTATTTTCCATATACACTACAGTTATTCCTACACATGTTAACATTTCGACACACACATTCGCTGATGATATAGCGATTCGTCACACACCTTAAAACAATAAAACAGAGGTAAAAACACATACTCTTCTTTTCGACTTGATGTTCTCCAATTGTCTTTGCGTGCACTCTCCGATGCTCTGGCTGCCCCAAAGTTCAATGCCGACCCTGACGTACGTGAAGCACATCGAAGTGATCGGCACGAAATAGGTAATGACCATAAAAAACACGTTGTATCTGAAACACACATCATACATCATAAGTAACGTAAAAATAAAATTGGTGAAATTTGAAATGAAATACCATCCCTTTCATCTGATACCACTTTTGTTACTGTTGATACCTTTACATAAATTAATTTGTTGATTAAAAGACATTAAATTAGACGTGTTAAATTCATAAAAAACATATTAGAAATAGTAATCTCAATAACGCTAGTAATTTAGTGATTTTTTAACAGTTATAATTACAGAAATTTCAAAATTTTGATAGTCCAAAGTTTGTAACCATTTGGCTTATTAAATTCTCTAGTTTTCGTGGTCGCTTGACCAATTAATATATCGTGACTTCGATCCACTCGGACACTAACTTCCCATCCCAACCCCACCTTTTGAATTTTGAAAAATGGCAAAAAGGAGGGAAAATTCAAAAGGTGGCGTTGAGATGGGAAGTTAGTGTCCGAATGGATCGGGTACACGATAGCTCAAGTGGTAGAGCAGCGGCGTAGCTAGTCGAAGGTCGTGGGTTCGAATCCCGCTCGTGACGCTGACTTTTTATCTCAAGTAAAAACCTTAATTAATTGAAACATTTGTTTTTATGTAAATACTTTGTTTTTTCACGGGGTAGCGACCATAATTTTCCTAACGAGAAATTCTCAGTCGTAGCCATGCTCGACTTGTGGTCATTTCCTCTGCAACCGTCATTGAAATAGAATGAGGATTTTTTTAAAATCACATTTATTGAGCACAATGAAAAATTGAAGTATCTCATTTTATCTTATATTTTCTTCCTTGAAAACATATCTTCCACCAAATTGGAAGTTTTTTTAAATTCTGACACTGTAAAAAGATGGTGGCGTCATCAGGCAATTATGCATGAACATGTGACGAACCTAATGACTTGATGGGTCTATACGATACTCCTGAAAGCACGACAATGCGTTTCTGTCAAGGCTAAACGTGTGCCAGTGCTCAATGTCACGGAGTTTTTAGGGGACTGTTTAATCCTGATTGGTTTCCTTGATCGTCAGAGATCAATCTAGCTCCCTTATATCCAGTGTACAGACTAGAGCAAATTATCGGACAAACAGAGGCAGACAACCCATCAGGAACGTCAATTTGCTCCATGACAATGCTCTCATATTGCGAAACAAACGCGTCAAAAATTCACTCAAAGTTCTGGCAGATTGTCAGAACAACCGTTATAGTTCTCGATCTGACATGCGTTTCACCCGTGTTCGGAATTTTGAAGCCTTCAGGTTTCGATAGGACAGCGTTTTGCTGATGACGAAGAGAAAGAGATGTTCGGGCAAAACTTTTTACAGTTTTTATTTTTTTTATTTTTTATTTATTTTTTAATTTTTTAAGAGGGTTCGCAACAGCAGAGGTTATATCAACCCTCGAGGTGCCGGTGTTTTTGAATGAAAAAAAAAACATTTGTAAGTATTCCGGGTTCGAATGCAGGGCCGCAGGATTCGAACCCGGGACCTTTACCTTACAGTGATGAACGCCGTGTCAACGACTAAAACCGTTGCGGCCACAGACGCCCCTACTACAGTGCGGAATTAAAAATCTCCCAATTTTGTGGGAGAAATTCGTCTTCAAAAAAGATAATTATTACAATTAATTATGGTTTTTAGTTGAGATGAAAAAAAGTTAATGGCACGAGCGGGATTCGAACTCACGATCTTCGGCTAGATACGCATACGGATTGAAATAGATACGGATTGAAAGATGGCAAACAGGAGGGAAAACTCAAAAGGTGGGGTTGAGATAGAAAGTTGATGTCCGAGTGGATCGAGGTCACGATAGCTCAAGTGGTAGAGCAGCGGCGTATCTAGCCGAAGTTCGTGGGTTCGAATCCCGGTCGTGCCATTAACTTTTTTTCATCTCAACTAAAAACCTTAATTAATTGTAATGTATTAATTGGTCAAGCGGACCACGAAATTAGTGAATTTAAAGATAATTATGTAGAAAAATGGCAAATTTTATCACTTAGATTTATTTATATGACTCTCGTTTTTCCAACATTTGCTCTAAACCAAAAAATGATTGATAAAAATCTTAATGTACAAGTTAACAGTTTCCTATTTTGGACTGTAATCAATAAATCAGTTCGTTTCGAAAATTCAGAAAATGGGACGAAAAATATCGATTCGATACGATAAGCAATTGTAGAGAAAAAAGTATCAAAAGTTCAAAAATACATTAAGCAATTGTAGAGAAAAAAGTATCAAAAGTTCAAAAATACATTTTTTCAGAAAAAACTCTTTTATGATTAAGTAATTAATTTACGACTTAAAAACCCTACACGACGACTCTTCTTTTAGTAAAGTTTAGACAGGAGTATTTTCATTTATCTTTTAAATATAAATTAAGAAAGTCATAAAGGCAGGGTGAGTTGCTAATTCATCAAAGCAAGATAAACCATGAAACTTGATTCGCAATTTTCAAATATTATTTGAAGCATTTTGAAAGTTTAGAAGCTCATGCCTTCTTTCAATTGAAGTTTTAATTTAAGGTAAAATAACGGCGTTTTCTTTATTTGGAACTCAATTTATAATTTTGTTTACTATTCATGGTATTGAGCAGCTTGTACCGTCAATTTTTTACATTCGATTTTCCTATATTTACTTTCAAGAAATAATATTGTTGACTTTTGAATTGGTTGAATTGATAATTTAAAAGATCAGTAACAATAAAATTCTGTACGTAATAACAGATTGACTTTTTACTGAAACCACCATTTAAGAGCATTCCATAAGAAGCNAATTTTTCAAATGTCGTCTAATCTATTTGATTTTCGGCGACAAATGAAATGGCCACGGAGAGTTTTAGTGAAGATATACTTCATTTTAACTTATTAAATTCACTAGTTTTCGTGGTCCGCTTGACCAATTAATATCTTTCAATTAATTAAGGTTTTTAGTTGAGCTAAAAACGTCAGTGTCACGAAAGGGATTCGAACCCACGATCTTCGGCTAGATACGCAGCTGCTCTACCATTTGAGCTATCGTGGCCTCGATCCACTCCGACACTAACTTCCTATATCAACCGCACCTTATGAGTTTTCCCTCCTTTTTGCCATTTTTCAACTTTTTTTCATCTCAACTAAAAATCTTAATTAATTGTAATGTATTAATTGGTCAAGCGGACCACAAAATTAGTGAATTTAATGATTAAAATGAAGTACACTTTACTAAAGCTCTCCGTGGCCATTTCATTTGTCGCCGAGAATTAAATAGATTACACGACATTTGAAAAATTACAAAAAAGGAGGGAAAATTCAAAGGTGGGGTTGAGATGGGAAGTTAGTGTCGGAGTGGATCGAGGCCACGATAGCTCAAGTGGTAGAGCAGCGGCGTATCAAGCCGAAGATCGCGGGTTCGAATCCTGCTCGAGACACTAACTTTTTTATCTCAACTAAAAACCTTAATTAATTGAAATATATTAATTGGTCAAGCGGACCACGAAAACTAGTGAATTTAATAAGTTTAAAAGAAGTATACCTTCACTAAAGCTCTCTGTGGTCATTTCATTTGTCGCCGAGAATCAAATAGATTACACGACATTTGAAAAATTACAAAAAAGGAGGGAAAATTCAAAGGTGGGGTTGAGACAGGAAGTTAGTGTCCGAGTGGATCCAAGTCACGATAGCTCAAGTGGTAGAGCAGCGACGTATCTAGCCGACGATCGTGGGTTCGAATCCCGCTCGTGACACTGAACTTTTTATCTCAACTAAAAACTTTAATTAATTGAAAGATATTAATTGGTCAAGCGGACCACAAAGACTAGAGAATTTATTAATCAAGATCTTATCATCAAATTGTTTTGTTTATTGTCATTATAAATCTCGCAGTAAATGGTATTGGTTTTGGCTCAAATTAACAACAGCCTATTAGCAATTGATCAAAGGTCCTAGGAAACATTGGCAAGTACTAAAGACAATGTTATAACTTGTACAACCGCATATCTCGTAGATAATAAACAAAATTTTAACTCGTTATTACTAGAGCACTGTTAGGCTAAACGATACGGCCTAGGTAAAGCGCTTTGAATTCAGGGTACACAGAGAGAAGATAAGCCTAAATGGCAGCTGTGACAGGGCTTTCAACAAACCCAAAGTCTAATCCTTTTAACAAATACGTAAAAGCAATTTCTCTCATATAGGAGAGCTTTACGTCCGACTAGGTGTTGATCGCGACAAAGGGCCAGATAACTTTCAAGTTTTTTTTCAATTTTGCTAATACCAGTAAATGAAATTCGAACAAAAAGATTTGTACTGAAACCCAGAATCCATTAACATATTTGATGTTGAACTAAAAAGTATTGATAATCTGACAAAACGACACAAAGATGGCGATACTCGAAACAAAATTATCGATTAGCTCAGGGGTCGAATAATGAAGCATCTACCCTGAAGAATTGAAACTAGGGTTTGTGCTCCCCAGTTACTGCAGCCTTCTGGCTTATTGTACCTTCTTAGTTTTCTCGTTCAGTGCAATCCACTCAATCCTTTTCCTCAGAAGTATTACGTCATTGACTGTTGCTGCTACAGTTTAATTCCCAAGGTTTTTTTTGCACGTTAGGTTGTGTCATTCCATATCTAAATGGGATCATAGTTATAATATGTTTATGTTATGTAGATGTTTTCTCAGTTGCCTGTGACCGGTTGAGAAGCCTATCACTCCTCTGAGACCGAAGGATAGAAACAAAAGTATCGTTACTGTGAATAATCAAAACAAAAGTATCAATATTATGAATAATCCAAGCAAAAATATCGAAACAAAGGATCGACATTCCGAAGGTTAGAAAAAGTATCGATCCTGTTGAGAATCGAAACAAAACATCGTTATTCCAAAGGATAGAAGAAAAAATACGGATACAACGAATTATTAAAACAAAAGTATCGATACTATGAATAATCGTAACACAAGTAACAATATTATGGGTANTAATACCAAAATCCTGCATTATTTTCCGGACAACCCAATATATCGATATTATATGATTCTTGGG